CGCGCGAGCGTAACGTCGGAAAATATGAATAATCGATGTGAAATATTTAAAAAGGGCCCGACGTGCGCGCAGAATGTAAAATAGCTCGAGGACATTCGGTAACCGGGCGTAAAAGCTCTCGGCCGAATTGGAAATTAACGTTGTAAACATTGCGAGAGAGACGGAAGCAGCCGGGCGCACGGTACACAAGCGACAAAATTACCGAATCCCTTATTATTATTGCAGTTGCCAGTTATCATGATTATTATCATCATCGTCATCGTCACCACCATCATCATCATCGTTGTCGTTGTCATCGTCGTTACAGTTGTCGTTGTTATTATCATTGTTGCTATTATTATTGCAATTATTATTATTACACGCTTCGGCGAATCTACCGGTGTGCGACGATGACTATCAATCGCGCTTGCCGAGCAATAAATTGAATGCTAGCGACAGCCCAATTTTCAAAAGATTATGTAACATCAATTATTATTATACGCATAAACGGATGCTACGGTCGCAGGAGCTGTTATCAAATTTCCGCCCTTGAATTTCCGACGTTTTCTCTCTCTCTCTCTCTCTCTCTCTCTCTCTTCTCCTGTCTCTTCTTTCGCTAAAATGAAATTACGTTCCACGGTAGTTCACTATTTTTGCGAAAAATGATATCGGACGATTCGCGCAATTTCCGGAGTTCTTGGGTCCGGAGAGAGGATTGCTTTGGAATTTCTTAAAAATTGTTTACAGTCAATCCAAATTATCGATTCACATTAAGTGGATAACGATAACGTGTACAACGCGTGGTGCGATTAATTTTAACAGGTCAATTTCCAGGCCAATCTCGCGGAATAATGATCCTCCTCTTTCTCCGCCCTCCCCCGTTCATAGTTCGCGAGCTCGAGTATTTCGAGTTGATATTGTAGTTGCTGTTCGTACGAAAGGGACCGATGTTTTCTACTTTTTCCTCCGACCGACTGTAATACGTATCTTTTGTTCGCATCTGTTTCGCATGCGGCCGCTATTGTTCCAGCTTTCGCGATTAAAGTTTAAATTGGCCGAGCCGACGGTGGGAGCTTGATGGGAAACGCCGTTCCCGATTATACACGCGAAAGGTGGAAATCAAATATTTGACGGGGCGCCGTAACTTTCCGTGAAATTCACCGTTGCTTTCCGCGCAAGGATATTTGCGGCGTTTTTCTCTCGTCGTCGCTCGCGTATTATTGTAAATTACCGTTCGGCGAAATCGGAGCTCACCAGCGAACACACAAGCTGAAATAATAGACTTCCGCCTGATATTTATCAACAGATCCGAGTTTTCTTTGCGTTCTTTAACTTCACGGTTTCGTGCGAAATGTAACATCAAAAAATGCAAAGATCAAAATAGATAGACGGGGAAAAATAATTTTGAGGAGATAGCAAATTTTATTATGCGGCCATAGCAAATAAATGAATATACAGGCTATGGAGGTCACCTAAGCGGAAACTCTTATAAAACCGGCAAGAAATGTCGGATTCGGGATCTGTTTAATGCAGTGGGTATCGATAGGTGTTTACTATAACATAGACTGGTGCAAAAAAATTTCCATAGAAATATGTCATTATCTCAAAGAGATAAAGCGAGAAATGAGATTTGACCGGAATTATCCCGACCGGTCAGCAATGTTTACAGTACATAAAATCAGAGAAGACACGTATTTCACGCTGAAAATCGGATGTGTTTATTAAAAAAGAAACATAACAAGGAAAGCTTTGCATGTAATAGCTTGAAAAAAATAGTCAATTGTTTATTGATTTGCATCCATCGCAATGATACCCGTCGGAGTTATTCCAATCAATGCAATTCTCGCGCGTTGAAAGTACGCAAAATATACAGCGAAATTACAATTCATTATTTCTCCCAAATTTCCCACAAAGAGAATATATAACTTTTAATTCCGATCATTACAGTATTGATCGACCGGCATTATCAAAATTACATATTTTCACAAATAGATTAACCACGTTGTGACGATCCACCAATTCAGAAAACCAATATTCCTACCGTATATTAGAAGGCTTAAGTGACATTGTAGAAAATAGTGCGACAACGTAGCATGAATAAATGTATCGACTTATCGCGCTTCTTTAGCAGCGATGCTTATATCAGAAAACGAAAACAAACGAAACAAACCTTTCGCAATAACTCAGCCGAACAATGCTAAGATAGCGGTGTTTTGTCTGATGCTTCCTTTGGTTCTTTACAGAGAACGAAAACAGAATTCAATTTGCACCAATCACAGTCGAGATATAGAAGTGACCGGCATTACTTACCGATCGATTACCCTATTCTCTTCTATATACTGGATAGCATAGTATATACTTACTATCCTCCTTACCTTCTCCACTGAGTCGACATGTGTTGTTTAGTATAGTTTCATATTTCGTAGATGGGATTCAAGGGCCACGTGGCCCGTTAAAAGACCTACCGCTACCCTACGTCTCCATCTACTCAGGCGAGAAGCTCCCTCGCCCTTTTATGTGATGGTTCTGTTAAAAAAGATTGCTTCGTGCAGGTCTCCCATGTGGCCTTATGCTCCTTCAATATTTCTTCAATGTAATTTCTACCGAGCGAGAAGGGAACTCCCACATTCGAGATGATCGGGTTTTCCCTCGCTGCTATGCCTGTCGGCCTTCTCGTTACCGGGAATGCTTTGATGACCTGGTGTTCGGTTGTATGAACAGAAAGATTCCCGTAGGAAGTTCCTACTCGGTCACTTGTTCACAGTTGTCTCAACCGAATTTGAATGCAGCCGAGTGTTCACGCGAATGTTCTCAGCCGCGGTAACCGAGATATCTTCACTTCTTCTCGCCGAGTTTTCATTTCTTGCCACCAACTTCTCTTCTGGTCTCTAATCTCTTGCAGAGAGCACTGAACTCTTTCTTCCGTTTGGGTCCCCCGAAATTATTTCTCTCCGTGTACGCCAAGAGGAGCATTCTGTACTTGAAACGTATTTCGGACGATAAGAGCGCGCATACGAAGAAAAAGTGATCCGCTTATCGTATTCGGCGCGATGAATATACGCTGACTTCGTAAGTAATGAGCTTTTCGCGGCTTTCATCTCACATTTCCTCCGTGGTTGTCGTGAGCCTCCTAAAGACCTCGCGAAGGGCTCTTCCCCCTGTGTTCTGCAGCTTCATACAAATTCAATGTTAACCGTAAGCTACCTCTTACCGTGAGCGCGCTCGCACTTATCCCTTATTTCAACCCCGAGAGCAAAAGTTATGCACGCTCCTCATCCACCCTGCTCTCTGTCTCGCTTCAATCGTCGTTGAAGCGCGGCTCGTAGCAGCACTTTGCGTGAATCAGCCGGTGTTTGTTGTTCAGACAATAACGAGCGACGGCGATTAAACGAAGTCGAAGTAGAACACACGGCGGATTAACGTCCGGGACGATTTACGATCCACCCGTTCAGGCAGGATACCTGCAGAGCCGACAAGTAGCGGATCGAGTTTTTCCGAAGGGCATCGGCGTAATCGTACGTCGCTCGTCCTCGACGAGTAAGTTTAATGAAAGAAGTTCGACGTGCCCCGGCCACGTACACCCTTAAACCGATAGCCCTCCCCCCCCCTCCCCCCCACCTATTATAATCGATGTCCGCTCGCGCGCGCTCAACGTAACGCTAACGAGAACGAATCGATTCGCGAGAACGGCGGCGGTTGAGCCGCCGGTTCAGCCAGAGCTACCAGGAAAGTTATCGATTCGTCCCGAATCGTTCGATTATGTATAGACAATCCTCTCCATCGCTGTTGCGCAACGGCGCTGTTGTTTAACGAGTCCGAAAGCAACCGGCTCGACGGTAAAATCGAAGTAAAAAGTACGACGATGAATGCGCCGGTGTGTGCATCGTGAAAAGGAGCGTCGAGCGGGCAACCAAGGTTAAAATTTCGAGATGCGCCTGTCGACAATTGTGTTTTTTCGCGAAGCGCTTCTTTCGGAATTAGCTGTAAATAGCCGGAAAGCGTGGGTATTTCGAGCCGTTATTTCGACCCGAGTGATCATTCGAGGAAATGCGACGACGTCGGACAAACATGCAATTAGTGAGTAACAGAGTTTCCAAAAAGAAATAGAAGGAAGCGTTTTCTCGATGTGAAAACCCGTTTCGCGACATCCTCCGATCGATCCTGTGACTCGCGGCATAGGCTGCTTGTGTCACCGGTCTATTAGCGTAAAATCGATGCAAGCCGTTTGAAAGACCGAGATAGGAAGGGGGAGGGAGAGAGAGAGAGATCGTTCAGGTGGCGAACGAGCGAAAAGCGACAATATGTCTCGGATATGCCGTCGTAAACATCGATCCCGTTCGCGAGGCATCCTCTTCTTCGGCGCGGGTATCAATTTTACGACGACAATTCGACAAGCCAGACAAATACCGGGCTCAAGGAACGAGCGCGAAAACAATATCGACGCGGGCGGAGGAAGTGCGGCGCAAGATTCATGGGAGCCGGCGAAGTGGCCAGGAAAAAGAAAGCGCCGTGGAAGAAAAGACCGCGACGGTGAAAAGCCGTGTGTATCTCACACCGAGAGGCGAGAGAGAGAAAGAGAGAGGATGGGTGGGAGACACTTTTGTGCGACGCGATCGGCGAATTTCCGTCACTGTCCGTACAGTTTCGCGCTGTCATGCCTCGATTCGGTCCCGGGCGGACATTCGGACTCCGCATTTTGCATGGATAAAAATTTGACGCGTTACGACAGTACAATCACGAGGGTGGCCATTTCTGGCTCAGTTTTGAAGAAAAATCACAATTTTCAGCCTTGCGTTTAACGAGACAACAAACAAGCCTAATTGCATTGAACAAAAATCGCGATTCCTTGAGTCTTAAATGAAGAACGATTCTTCAGGCCTCCATATTCGAGGAAAGAAAATCGAATTAATGAGGAAAATTCAAAGGCGAATTTTCAAACCTGTTGATGACAATGTTACAGATACAATGAGGTAGTAGATCGCCCGCGGAGTACCTGGTGAGGCCGTTTTTGACACGGCGACATGTCGTTGCTGTCGAGCCGGGGCGGCCGGAAAGGGCCGATCGCCTGCCTGGTGGCCCTGCTCTTCGTCTTCGCTCTTTACCAGCTGGGCATCTTCTGCGGGTCCGGCAAGTACGTGCCCACGGCCGTGATGGTCGGCAAGGAGGTGAGGAAACTAATGACCTTCTTCGGTCAGTCTAATCGTTCGTGTAGCGGAAATCACGCGGCGTCCCTTCTTCCGCCAGTTCAACGTGCCGTAAAGAGAATAAATTCTCCCCTCGCGTTTAAATAAAGAGAGCGAATTTCTCTCGATTAAGTAAGACGGCTGAATTCTGCGGCAGCACGAAGAAAGAAGGAAAGAGAGAGGTGCGTGTACGCGGTGTTTCTTTTTAAAGCGGATAAACTTAAATCGAGTGGTTAAATTTGAGCGCGACGAGAGCTGCAATATGCCCGACGACATTATTCGCCGCGGTATCTTCCGCGAGAAATTATATTCCCAAAAAAGATAGGCGGTGCAAATATTTCCCGCTGTGCGAACGGTGCGATATTTTTATTTATACAATCGTATATTTACGATTTATTTGACGCAATTAAATAACCGTCCCGAAATCTCGTTAAACAAATATGCGAATCGCCCAACCTTTGGGTGACGAAAAGCTGAAAGAGGTAGAGAGAAAAAAAGAGAGAGAGACCTAATGGCGTTCGCATTGATTGATACCGATATCGACGTCGATATCGAGGGACGTTGAGACACCGCACCGAGCATTTTTGTCAGACAATACCACTTTTCATTTAATCGAGAAATTTTAATTATCCCCTCTTTTTCTCCCCGTCGGCAAACCTCACTTTATTCCACCGCCTGTCGGAACCGGCCGATCGTTACGACGTTCAACGCGATAATAATACAATAATAATTAATCGGAATAACAACAGCGACGATAATACGAACGATGTATTATCGTTCGGTCCGACGAATTTCTGCATTATTAATCGACAACTAATAGCTGTCAAAGTATTAATTACGTCGAGCCGTTAAGGTTTGTTTGACGACGGTTGGGCAAACGTTAGGTTTCACCATCGAATCTCGTCGTCGAGCTTAACGTTTACCGACATCCGAAGCTTATTCCCTTCCGGTCTTGACCCTGGAACGTTAAACGCACGCCTCCAAGAAACACGTTCCTTTTCGCGTACATATTCTTATTCGTACGATGAAACCCCTACAGGCACACGGATAGAAAAATGGTCGATTTTAATAGAATTATTAATGATTTTTCGTATTTACTGATCAATTTATATAATTATTTATTTACTGCCTTTTTTATACATGTATATTATTTTTTATTCACAAAGATATCGTCAAATAAAATATTGTTCTTCATATCATTTTCTTTTATACAGATTTGTTTATATGTTGCGTTTATTTATATGTATATGCGTGTAACCACACAACTGGTGCTTTCTCATTAATAAATATTATTATATTATATTATATTATTATATTATATTATTATTATTAAAATTATGGTGATTTCCGATGCTAATTATATCTTCTTGTTGTTCTAAACAAAAAGTGATGATAACAATACACATATAAGCTTTTTATTTAGCAGTATAGCAACGCTTATCACAAAAAGACATATCCTGGCAATAATTCTTTCGCTATGCAATTATACTGATACCGAGCGTTTTTTTCAGAGTACACGCGCGAAAGAAAGAGCTCAAACTCTCGAGGATACCTCCGTTCTCTAACTTGGGTACTTCTTGCGAGTTACATTTCGACTGTAAACATTATCAAGTCAGCTGATAAGTCAAACGGACGTACCTTCGACGATTATGGAAAAGCGACATTAACGTTCCGGGGTTAATCAGTGCCATTGACGCTGCGCGTAGACGAGAGGAAATGCCTAGCGTTCCTGAAGGATAGTTGAGCGAACTTGTCTTGTCGACTAGTCGATATATCGCTTCAAGTTCCAAACCGAGTACACAGCCGGGTCTCTCTCTCTCTCTCTCTCTTCTCTCCCGACGCTCGCCGTCCGCCTCCGCCGGCTTTGGCGCGCTTTTATTAATTTTCTCGGTGGACTTACTTTAATTGCGTTCAACTAGTCACTCTCGCGGGCAGGGCGAGCGAATTGCGCGAGCGAGCCGTTCAACGACGAGCGAACGGCGTTGTTTTCGAAAATGAGCGACGGAGAGGGAGTGTAATTTTCGTACGAAGCGCGACAGAAGATTGCAGATTCTCCCTTTCGTTAGGGACGAGAGGGAGAATGGGAAGTGGAGACGCTCGGAAATTAATTTAATTTACTTCCCCGAACAGAAGTACGTGATCGGGCCCTTTGATCGCAAGACGTACACGTACGATCGTTACATGCCGCTCATCTTTATCGGCGGTGTACCACGATCGGGAACGACCCTGATGCGTGCCATGTTGGATGCGCACCCTGACGTGAGGTGAGTCTCGCGAGATTGGTGAAATGATTTCTCTAGAAAAATAAATTGAAATCGAAATTCAAATTGAAGTAAAATAACATGCACCGCACAGTAACACAGAATGTTCATTCGCAACCGTCGACTTCACGAATTCACGTTGAAATTTCTGTAAAAATAACGTAAACGTACACCGAGAGAAAAATATCTAAAAAATAAAAATATTTACTCGGTGGATACTATAATAACATGTTTATACCGACATACATATTTCTACATTGAGAAAACATTTTTTCCAAATGAGAAAATATACATTTTCTTAAGCATAAAAGCAATTGTTTCTGTTCTGGTTCTGTTTAAGCAGAGGAATTTAGATTTAAGTAAATATTTTTTTTGCAGTATACTGGAAATAAGTATTTGTCATTTTTTAGATGTTTTTTTTCTCTCAGTGCATGTTGTTCGACTGTGTAACTCGAGAAGTTCTCGGTGCTTTAGAAATTTCCATACGCACGTCTTTGGTCTGACGTAGGGCGTCGAAGTAATATTCATGAGTTGCGTCCATGCAACTCTTTCCATTTCGAAAACTACACGTTCGGTCGAGCGACTTTGACGGAATTTCATTCCAGATGCGGACAAGAGACCAGAGTCATACCGCGGATTCTTCAGATGAAGATGCACTGGTCCAAGTCAGAGAAAGAGAATTTACGGTTGACCGAGGCGGGCATCTCGAAAGAAGTAAGTGAAGGGATGCGCGTCGTGGGGAGAGAGGGAGTCGCGAGTGAGCGGGAAGAAAACGTACTTCAACATCGGGACATATTTGAATAATTTCACCGACGCCCAACGATATTTCAAAAGATTTGCAGCAAGAAGTTCCCCGTGTTTTTCCGTGCTCATCGAAAGTAATAATTTTCGCGCGTGCGCTTTCTCGCTGAGGAACACCGGGAACTTTCTATTCCGGTGCAGGAAGATTTACGTCCTTCGATAGCGAGCATTTGTCTCTTCCGAAAGCATGCGCAAGAACGGAAAATGGAAAAGAGAGAGAGAGAGAGAGAGGAAAGCACTGATCTTTCGATGGTCCGAAACTTTAACCAGTTAACTGTTTTTGACGAGTATATTCGTCATGAAAAAAGTACAAAATTTTAACCTTAAATTGCCGCCGAAATTTTGTACTTTTTTCATGACGAATATACTCGTCAAAAACAGTTAACTGGTTAAGGACCTAAATGTGTACATTTTTTGTAGGTGATAGACAGCGCGATAGCGGCCTTCTGCTTGGAGATAATAGCTCGACACGCCGAGCCCGCGCCACGGTTGTGCAACAAGGACCCACTTACCCTCAAGATGGGCTCGTATATTCTGGAACTCTTCCCGAACGCCAAATTTATATTCATGGTGCGCGACGGACGCGCCACGGTGCATTCTATCATATCCAGGAAGGTGAGGCGAACAACACCGTCGATCAGATTGTATTTTACGTTACTCTCGCGGAAGGATATTATCGAGTCTCCGCGACACGGTCCGTATTTCGTCTCCCTCTTTATCGAGTTCCCTTTTAAAGCGGTTGAGTATCTGAAAAAGTGGCTGGGCGGAATTTATACATTGCACAGTAGTGACGATCTCTGCTTTGAGATCGTCTCTTGAGCAGCCGTTCTCTAAATATAGAAAGCGCGACGGAGACTTCGCACGGAGGAGGAAGAATGGAATACGGTTTCTCTGCGACGGTTTTTCTCCCTTCCTTCAGGTCACCATAACGGGGTTCGATTTATCGTCCTACCGGCAGTCTCTCATCAGGTGGAATCACGCGATTTCCGTGATGTACGGTCAGTGTAGGGAACTGGGACCGGAGAGATGCCTGATGGTCCCCTACGAGCAGCTGGTGCTACATCCGCGCCAGTGGATGAAGAAGATATTAAATTTTTTGGACGTGCCCTGGAACGAGTCCGTCATGCATCACGAGGAATTCATTAACAAACCCGGCGGAGTGCCTCTGAGCAAGTGAGTTGAGAGAGAGAGAGAGACGGGGCGCGCGCCTGTGTGGAAATTGGCGAGGCGCATTGTGTGCTTGCCCTGCGAAATTAATAACTAACTTTTTCTCTGTTAGAACATCGCCGGTGTTTATCGCGAATTTTCAATTACCTAGAGGTCACTAGTGCTGTCAGTACAAACCGGGTAATAATGTCCGTACCCGTCGGATATCTGCCCGATACTCAAGTTCGCAGATATTATCCAGACACTTGGGGATACTATCAGATATCTATCCGAAATTAAGAATCTCGAGTAATGTTCAGTAATATTCCCGTCTATCGTCTGTTATCGATTCCTGTTGCAGCTGTTTCCGTACCGGCTGATTCTGTCTTTTACTCTAATCATGACACTGGAATATCCGTGTAATTTTCGCAATAATCGAACACGTTGTTATCACCTGGTTGCCACCCGAAATATTCGAATATACCCGGGGTGATATTCCTGAGTCTCCTGAGGGGAGACCTGAATATTGACACTACTAGAAATAACACAGCACAATTGTCCACGTTTAGTTAATTTTGAAATAATCCCTTATATATATGCGTTAAAATTATACCAGTGTATAATAGAACGTAATATGATAAATAACATAATAATATCCCGCGTATTATTAAATGCGCAAATAATGTAATAATATGATAAAATAATGCTCCGTTACGTTACCGCGGAAATAATATAACGATACGGCGATATAATATTTTACTTCATTAATTCCAGGATAATATAGTAATAACGCGATAAAACGTTTCAACAATGTTTCGTGTGTTAATTAATATCGAGACAACACCATAAAATTGTGATCAACATAATGAAATAACATTCCACGTTACTGAAATTTTTAATATTAATTTGTGTTAATTAAATTATGAATTATCTATTAATTTTCTATTCGACAGGGTCGAGAGATCGTCGGATCAGATCATAAAGCCGGTGAATCTAGCGGCATTGACGAAATGGGTCGGCAACATTCCCGAAGACGTAGTGAGGGAAATGGCCGACATCGCGCCGATGCTCTCCGTGCTCGGTTACGATCCCTACGCGAATCCACCCGTCTACGGCGCCCCGGATAGTTTAGTTAGCGACAACACCAGACGGTACGTGACGATTTGTTATACCGTGTCGTCATTACGTTATGTGCGCGACGACTCGCGATAATACTCAAGCTACGATATGAATGCCCGCGTATGAGTCGAGTAAAGTCGTTTGAAAATAAAAATGGGTCCGCAGTGCAAAATTCAGAAATGAATTTCACGCCGAGTTTCCCATATTCTGCGTTATTCTAATTTAACACATCAACTTACACAAGTTATAAGCGAGTTTTTCGAGCGCGAATCAAAAGTAATTCTGTTGGAGCTCTTCGTTCGTTGAAAGTTTTCCGAAACTTTTCTGTAGCTTGAAGATAATTGCATTTCGCCAGAGAAAAAGATCCCTTAAGCTCGTAGAAAATCTACCGTCACCTCACCAGATACGCAACGTTAACTCTGTTTTCTCTTCATTTTTTCAGGGTGCTGGCCGGCGAGAAGCTCTGGGCGGAGAAGGCGCGGGAATACCACCTGTCGCATAAACCGGCGGAGACCAGCAACGAGGAGACTTCCAGCACGGCGCCGCTCGCGTGACCCAGTGAGGCTGTTCTAAGCGAGCGCAGCGCGTAGCCAGGAGTATCAAGGAGTCTCAGCAACTTAGCGGGGCCCACCCCCGAGCGAGCGGTGCGACCGACCCTTCTACTTGCAAAGTAAACTGGATCGTACGCGACGACAAGTCGGACAAGTTGAGGATTAATCGTCCTCGTTGTATTTTCGATCTCTCCTCCTCGTCTTCTCGTCATCATCTCTATGGCGAGCTCGAACAAATGAATCGACAATTCACGGCGTTTACTTATTCAGGCCTGTGTGTTTCACGGGGTTAGAACACTTGTAATACTAGGTACATAGCGCGACTGCGACATGTGTTTTATATGTACATTATTGATATGTAATATATATATATTACATTATATATATTACATATATATTATATTATATATAATGTATTATACGTATACATATATGTAATATCTCATTATATTATACAGTGTGAGGCAATAATCATGACCACTTTGAATATCTTCGAAGTATGAGAGTAGGAAAGTAGAAATTATATGGTCCAAAGTGGTCGTCTTGTGACGGTAACATTTTTTTTTTGTAAGTAAAATAGCTCCGAAGATCTGAAGGTCACCCTTGACTTGTTAGTTGAAGATATTCAAGATGGTAACAATTATTGCCCCGCCCCGCTCAAAAACTACGGACATGATATGTAACAATCGAAGCGATCGTTTTCAAAGTGTCTTAATTGCTTTCTTAAGGAATGCTTTATGAGCACAAAAATTTGGGTACAAAATTTTATCGAGAGAGATTTTACGAGCTTGTACATTTCCTCGTGACATAAAATATCCGTTTTTACGGATGAAATATCCACATTCTGTGGATTTTTACGAATAATTTAAGGCACTTTGAAAGTAAATTTTCCAATTTGTAAATCGTACTTTAGATTTGTCACTGAATTAATATGGAACGATGGATTCTACGTTTTGCTCTAATATTACAAGTGTTGTAATGTTATGAAATAGGGCCCATGAAACACGGTGATATCGCTGTCGATCTTGCACAGTGTCGTCTATCAGATATTGCAATGGTAATTGATACATAAAGACCAAAGGTTTCTTATGTATATCACAAATTCGGGGATTGCAATTATAATTTTATTTCATAATTGTAATTGTTCAATTCCTGATTATTAGACGACACCGGCCAATTGCGGCCAGTGATCTTAGGGAGAAACGTTTTAGGGTATTTACTTTAGCGATGAAAGATTAACTCGATGGACGAAGGAGCGGAAACTCCTCTTCCGCCTTCTAACCCTTCATGAACGAAGTCTTGAATTGTACGGTTCGGGACGATGATAACCTGACCGCGAGATTCTCTCGACTTTGTGGACCAATTACCGAGTTAGCGCCGGTGATCGAGTCATTGAAGTTTCCCGACGTCGATTTTTTCAATGATTTTGCTTGTACAGCGCCATTTCATTTTGATACAATTCATTATATAACGATCTAACAATATGAAAAGCAACTTGTGACATACTATAGTCTACAAAGCCGAGAGGGGTTCGCTCAATATTTTTAACTTTCCTCATACCTCCGTAACTCCCACCGTACCGTTCCCATACTACTTGTTATAACGAGAAATCACACGAGATTGAATGGAATTTTTCATGTTCGCCATATTTTTTAGCTAGAGTAGTTCTCACTCACGGTGTCTTCAGTCAATGTCTGTTCTTACAATTCGCGAACGCAATTTACGAACGGCTGATCGTGCCGCGGGTATCAGGAATTAATGTTAAATCGGTGCATAAGGTCGTCAGATAAACTTATGGGATGAAAATGTAATTATATAAAGTTTCGAGGTACTTTTCGTCAATTGTGAAATAGTCATTGTTGACTTGGACATTTCTTCCAGTCAAAATATTTTCCAACCTTCTTTTTGAAACCTTTTTAAAACCTTAAACGCCAAACTTGATGGTATAGATGGAACTTAACGGGGAAACGACAAGACGAACCTTTCTCACCGATCAAATATTTAAATTGTTGTAAATAATTCCCATGGGCTCTACCGCGACTTACTCGTCAAAGTAGGGCTCATTTCTCCGTTGTTCATGGTTTCTCTCGTGACAGTTACATTCTAATTTTAGAGAATGAATAACGCCGTCAAGTCGTCGGATCGGCGGCGGACGCGTAAAGGCTTGTCGACCTCTTGACTCTGTCAAATTGTGGAATTAAATTATTTTAATATTACACGGCTATTATATTCAATCCACATCTTCTCATCCCGCTTGTAATCAGTGGGGGAGAAAGATTCCCGCACAATTACATTAGTATTTAATACCAGTCAGGATAGGATTGTGGAGCATCCTATTTATACATTTGCCGATGTATACGAGTATTTTAACGATGTGAAAATCTTTTTAAAAGATACGGCTTTTATGTTGTGAATTATTTTTTTGTTAATTATATTTATATATTAAATATAATTCGCAATATGTGATACCAATCCGAATATAATTCGATACAAATCATTTCGTTACAACTCCATATTGTTATATTTATAACATATTTCTTTTTTTATATAACTTTATTGTCATATATAAAAAATTACATATCGTTTGATTGCGTACATAATCAAATTCATCTGTTATACATTTGGATTGGAGAAATTTCATTTAAACAGATAACAGGCGAAACAGGATAATTTTTTATGAATACCAAATAATGACGAACGAAACAGAAGAATACTATAGAGAAAAACGAGGAGAAATATATACAAAAGATTTTTACTAATGTTGTCAGTGTAAGTCGAGTAGTTTCTATAATGTATATAATACTCAAATACTCGAGTATACGGATATAGAAACTATTCTGTTTGTATTGACGATATATTAATCGACACCACTTCTACGCGTAAGTCCTGATTTGTCTAATAGAGATTTTAGTAAATCCTTTTTTGTAAAATTCCTTCTTTTCTGCTCTTACACGAGTGCTTTTCGGTATTTCGCCTGAATCCATACTCTGTACATACTCAATTGTTTACCTCTGTTAACTTGCAGTCGCCTGTCCGCGAAATTTTGTTCTTCTATAAAGCCATTATCGGTGAACAATGTTCTGACGTCCTCTGGAACAATTAAGATTTTTGCGAGGATTTTCGATTGTAAACGTTGCAATTTTAACGTAGGACAAATATCTCGAAGGGAAATATTACCTTGCAAGAAGAAGTACACTCTAGTACCGTCTCCACGCGCGTAAAAATTCTCGCCAAGGCAATTGCCCTTCTTGAATCTTAATTGTGCTAAATCGTATCTGCCGTAATCACGAAACAAAACTATTCCGCCCGGTTTCAAGTACCTGTGTATCTGCCGCACAACGTGTTGCATTCTGTAATATCAAGCAATATAATATATTTTCATTTTTCTCAAAATAAATAAAACGACAAAAATAGAAATTTGTGAAAAAACTAGAAATAAAAACTGAACAAAATAGAACGAATATATGAAACAGGCATAACGTTACAGTAATTAATAACACAGATTTTCAACATACTTATCAGGATGGATAGCAGACAGTACGAATATCAGGACAACAATGTCCAGGCTTTCAGGTTCGAAAGGAGTCGTCCATGTTTCTTGAGTCACATCAAGAACAAATGCTTTACATCTGGAATCACATACGAAAGGTTTACGAAATTATTTCACGCTTCACTCGATGACTTTCGATCATTTTAAACTTTACCTATCTACATTGTACGCGGAATTTTGTTGCAGTATATCAATAGCTTTAGTGGAAAAATCGCAACAATATACAAACAGCTTTGGGTCTGCATTATACGCAAGTATAGGGAACACGGTGTTCCCTACACCACAGCCTATTTCAAATATCCTGCAACCATCCTTGCACGGTAAATCGAGAATTTTAATATGCTTATCACCATGGCTCTTATCCTTATCAGTAAGCGCAGCCCGCATTGGTCTTTCAGTATTTTGCCTCACCGTATCAGGCGCTAATTCGGGAAACTCGGTCAACAGCCAATGCCGGTTCTTAAAGAATCTGCAACGAAGAATATATCAATTAAAGACACAAGCCTTAAAAACTAATGTAATAAGTAAAATAAATCTGACTAGCAATTTGACAGTTGTATTTTATATCATATAATAATTTATTATCAATTGCAAAGGAATCTACGATGTTTTCCTTACCCGTCGTTATGCACATCGTAAAATTTGTCCCAATATTTATCAGCGTCGGTCTCATATTCCGAGAGTTTTTCAGGGGACACTGTAACAATCGAATTTTCGTCCACCTTGCGCTGTGCGAGCTTTTCTTGTTCCTCGTTCCACGTAACGTTATCCCTTTCGAAATATAAGAAGCTTAACGGTTAATTAATCACAGTCGACAAAGTGAAAACGTTCGATTTATATTATTTTTATCGTTTCTACATGAGGTTAGGTTAGGTGCAAATACACGTGTTCGATCAAACGTCAAATTGAAACGTCAAGTACATGTGCGGTAATACAGTATACAGTGCTTTATCTTACCACGCATTGTGCTGGAAGATATTTCCGTCGCAAGGCAAGCTTCGCGTTCCAAATTGCGGCCTGTCGTCAGCCATATCACAACTGACGCCGTCCGACGTCTTGTCGTCCATGTTCGAATGTACGCGCTGATTAGACCGCCATTGGATATTTAATTAATTCACCGAGTGTGGTGTCTCGGAGTGTGAATTAATTAAATCACTCGCGTATCAACGAGTTCAATATTGGATTCGCGGACGTGAAAAAATGTGTCTTATTTGTCGAACAAGTCGCGATTCCGTCGCACGTAGCGAATATAAATTATGTCATCATAATTTCTCTATTGATATTTATAAGACAAATTATATTCCGCTTGTTTTTTGCCGTAGTACTGGAATTTATGAGGGATTTCATTCAAATTAACATATATTGTGTTTAGAATAATTACCCGCGTAGAACAGAAAATCACGATGACATCGCAAAATGACGGGGAAATGATCGAATCATAAACGGTAAGTAAGTTATTATAATCATTTTCCCATCATTTTCATGTCATCGTGCTTTTCTGTTCTATCTGGGTACGTCAAATTTGTATCAGATGATATTTACCACATAATTTTTATCAGATAAATCATTCGAAGAAATCTCTAATTTTTCTGAACAGGGTAATTATATTGCATTATATATATATATATATATTGCATCGTATTTTGCGTTATATTAAAGTGCGTTCAATGATTAAATTTAAAAACTTACGAAGTCGATTAGAGGCTAGTAGAAAATAAAAGTCTGCCTGACTAATCACGAGTCGTGCTACAAACAAGAGTTTGGCTAACCTACGGTTGACTCGTACTACCTCCATTTTTTTTATTAAAGACAATAGCGGCTCCTAGCGGAGAGTTGAGAACTAACTTGTGATGTCTTCCCCTTAGCCGGAACTCGAACCCTTTTCAGTCGAAATTAAAGGCTCGCTCACTTCTTTTTTCCTTGGCTCAAGTTCCTAACGCGAAGTGTTAATTTGGATCACCTGTTACGTAACAAAGATTCACTTAGTCGAGACTCAAACCTTGATCATCAAAATAAGTTTCACGGAACACCATTAGATGACACTAGTTAACCTGTTAATTACATTTTTACTGGATCTAACAGATGAGCTATTATGCCAATTTGTAGTTCCAGTCTCCGCTACGAGCCGCTACTATTTTTTATCAGAAATTGAGTACGTAATAAGATTGTACGACAGGTTAGACGTACTTTTAATCTCTCGTAAAAATTAGATAAAATTCAATGGACTACAGCTTTGACGAAAATGACGGTAACAAGGTGGTCCGAAGAACCTCGTACAGTTTGAAGTCTTTAATTTTTAGGCATGTTAAAATTATGTTATCATTATTTTTCGTCAAATATATTGAATTCAATGAAAAATAACAACTGTTCAATATACAAATGCACCTTTCAGTTGACTTTTAACTTTTTATATCAAAAATTTATATTTGTCAATAATCTGAAAAATTTATTTGAAGGGAAGAATTTAAAGCATTTTATTTATTTTTTATCGAATATTGTGTATTGATTCGTGCATTCTCTATGCACGCAACCAAAGTCGGCAGAATCATTTTTCGACGTTAAATAATCCCGTGAGAACATTCGTGCAATTGACATGAAATCGATTTCTTAACATGGATTCCATGTCGTTTGCACGTGGATGTTCTCATCAGGAACTCAGTGGAAAAAAATCGCGTGTTTTATTTCGGTCTTCGTGCAGTCTCAATGCAGCTGAAGAGAACAAAATTCTCATCTCCATTCGCTACTGGAGAATGGAAGTTTGTTTCACCTGACATTGAATTGCGCTATCGAAGAATGAAAATTTGAGCAGGATAAGATTGAAGGTAATTCAAGCCAAGCACAAATGTCGCATAGTTTTAATAGGGCGTTTGCTTGTGTCGCATTTTATCGTTGAGAACCATACACACTTGTGGGCGAACTCGCATGACTTAGCATAGTTGTTGTAAGTCATATACCAGCTGGCGGAATTCTTCTACCCGAAATCGATGCGAAGATGAAAGGCTGTAAGATTCGAACATTGTGCTCGTCCTGACGAAGCGTCGATGTGAGCACCGTCGCAGTTTTGGAAACATATTCATCACGTGCAATCGATACAGCGAGAGCGAACATTTTTCAGGATGTACTGTGTGAGTTGATAAGAACGTACACTGAGAAAAAAGTACTTAAAAATTTATTTCTGGGACGTAAGCTCTATTTCATAGAAATAAACCTTAGGTCCTTAGAAATAAACCTTAGAAATAAACCTTATATCTCAGGGATAAATATTCTGTGAAATAAACTTTATATCCCACGAATAAATTTTTAAGTACTTTTTTCTCTCAATGTTACACTTGAAATTTTAAGTAATACATTCGCGTGGTTTACATAATCGCGCGTAGTTTCTATGTCCAGTACAGCAGGCTCCATTAATGGTGTCCCATTCTCTAAGCATAATGACCTCAAAAACTTGTCGATGATTTGATGAATCGGCAACGATTCCCCAAAGCAGCAATCATGATGCATAAATATTAAAAAATAATGCGTCTAATTCGAAATTTTCAGTGCCTAAAGACAACATTGATGGAGTCTGCTGTACAAGCAAGAATAACCAGGAATCTGAATATTCTCGTATGGAGAAAAACTACAAGAACAATGATTCTTCAATAACATACTAATAACTTTTTTGTATTCTTGTAGTTTTTCTTCGTAGAGCCGCGAATACCCGGATAATTTGAAAAATACCTGTATCCGCGGGCCCGGAAAACTCGGATACCTGTGCTCGATCTATCGGCAATATTTCCGAGGCGTTTCAAAAAATACGTTTCTGAGACGCGAGTTGTCTGTCTAGGTCGTACCTTTTGCTTGGAGTTATATCGAATTCACGATATACGCAGCGCTATCTTTTTGTTACAGCGCGCACAAGGTACATTCCCGGGTTGATTTGATATTTTTTGTTATTTATGGCATATTACCTTCTTCCTTCAATAACTCTAACTTTTTAAGTTTATGGGGAGGTTCTCATGAAACTCGACCAAAAAATCGTTTTTTTTTTTTAATTTTTTTTCGATAGCTTATGATGTGTAGAATATGTTCCTAAAGCGGTTTGGCCGATAACGATTGCATAAAAAAGTTATCGCATAAGAAAGGAACGAATTGTATGGCGTCAAGTACGAGTACTACATAGGCGATGGAAATCTTAAAACGCGTTTTCTGAACAATCATGTTTTTCAAACTGGTCTCCACGATATCTCAAGAACTACTCGATGGATTGACTTGGATTTTTTTTTATTTTAAAGTAGATAAAATTTATTGGATCCTAAACCTAAATTCGGATGATATTTGTCGTCTTTTTTTTATTTTCAGAGTACTTTAAAGAGCGAAAAATGTGAAAAAACGGTACTAGAAATTCACATGTCCGCCATTTTTGTAATTTTCGACTTTTTTTTTGATATTATAGGTTCAAGCTCCAATAAATATCATATAATTTATAAAATTTTTTAATTTTTCATTTCAGATGACATAAACGTGCTGTGCGATGGAGACCGTTTGGGTACTTTTTTTTTTCAACGTGACGTTCGACGACGTATTAACATTTCCCATGACACCTTTATGCACCAAAAAAAATATTTTTCTATACTTTAAGAGTCGTTAAATAACCGTCAAAAAACTCAAATTGTTCATTTACTTCCTTCTATGACAAAAATATCAAGAAAATCACCGTGTTTTTAGATCTCTAGATGAGAACCTCCCCTTAAGATTAGTTTTTAGCCACTGTTATTCATAGCGATAAGATAATAAGTATTAGTTTCGCTCAAGGATATAGATAAAATAACTGACACATGTGCGGAATGTGTTGGAAAAACTAAGAGACACAAAAAGAGGGGAGAGCGATTTGAAACAAGAGATTCAGACTTTGGTGATTCTCGTTGAAGTCTGATCTATTCATCTATTCGACGACTTAAAGTTGCTGTCGTGTATCAACTGTTCCATTTCGCTCTAACGCAGATAGAAATGATTAACTTTTCGATTATTACCTACAAAACACCGAACTAAAATCGATGTTAGCAGTGCAGTAAACACCAACTAACAGTAATACTACAACAATGTTATAATTTCCCACTCAACAATGAAACTGTAACATACAACGTCTGTTATTGCACTTACATTGTTGAGTGAGAAATTATATTGATCTAATGTTACTGTTAATTGGTGTGGTTACTGGACAATTCTTATTATAGTTCTAAAGTTTCAGAAAAACCCCGTTTTCTTCAATTTTCCATGAATTCTTAGTCTCTTATCTTTTTGACAAAGAAGTAAACGTGGCAGATTTTAACTGAACACGCGTGAATTTTCCTAAACGAATTCCTGCACTCTTGGCACAGAAACCGAAAAAATCCGTGGAAAAATGGGGGGGAGGGGGGAGAAACGGTTTTTCCCGCAACTGTAAGACCATAGTTCTTCTTAGTATTATTCACCGATCGGTTTAACCTGAGTTTAACGGAAGTCACTCTCATCTTACTCTTTTTCGGTCGCGATACGGGACCGAGAGTGGTTCTCTCCGACGGGCAAGAAAAGAGATTTCGTGGTGCCGCCTTATGCACACTTGTATATATTTGGCGATAAGCCTCGTAAAAGTGTCCGGACGGCGCGAGATAGCAGTTACGAGGCTGGCTAATTAGGAGCCGCCGAGGTTTGGCGGGCGGTCCGGCTATTTTTCGGCGAGGAATCGCACGCGCGCGCCGCGCAAAACGCAACGCGGCGCGCGTTCGATCGCTCGCTCGCGCGCCCGTCCGCAGGATCAACGACCTAAGAAAGTGATATAGGTTAGGTTAGGGGTATGCGCGTGGTATGCGGAAGCGGGATGGGTGTGACGCGAGAGCGGAGGGGTGCAGGCAGGTCGAGGGTGGCGCGTTGCGTCATTGGATGCTTGATGTCGCAGGGGCGAATCTCGCGCTGCACTCGGGCCCGAGACCGGATGTGACGCGGCGAGCCATCTTATCGA